ACAACAGTTTTCCTAACGGTATGTTTAATCACTGGTTAAGGTGACAGCCCCGAACCCTCTCTAGATTAACCATGTGCTAGCTTAAACACTTGAAAGAGTTGGTTCCGGTCCTGACATAGTTCTATAGGAAAGGCCACTTCATGTCAATGAAATTGAATATCAATCTCGTTCGTTTGAATGAATTTTGTAATTCAGACAGATGACTCTTTTGTGCTTTTGAAGATTCAACCATGCAGTTCAACAGATTTTCAGCATAACCTTGATGATTTGAATTCATGAGATATGGCTCGGCATTTTGCCATTTTTTTCTCTAAATCTCTGCAATATTTGTGATTTAACTTTGAATTTGGAGATTTGTAGTAAGAGAACAAACGCCAATCTTAAAATAGAAATTTCCAAAAGAATCCTTCAGAAGTTCTTTAGTAAGAACATTGGTATAATGAAGAACATAACTGAGACATTTCTCGAACAAAATGCTAATCAATCTCAATATGTTTTGAACAAGCATGAAACATTAGATTCTGAGACATGTGAATGGAACTTTTATTGTCGTTATATAGCTATTGCAGCCATGTGGTTTCAGCAGCAGCGGTGGCTAGGTATCACTAATTTGAAGCCGAAGATCGTCTGAACTAAGAAAGATGCAGTAGTCTGTGACTATTTTAAGAAGTAAAAGATTCCAAGCCTATAATTCACAACTGTATTTATTACAAATTTTAGATATTCTGATTTCAAGTGTAAAAGCATTAATTAATTGAAATTGTGACAAGAATTTCCCCAGCAATTTGAGATTCCACTTCATATAAATGAAATTCATTGTCAATCTGATTATTTTTACTGGCTCGTTTCCTATGCTAGACTGAGCAACACCATATAGTATTAAGGAAGAAGAAGTCGAGTTTGTCTTGTACTAAACATGCCCTTGATGTCGAATCGTTTGCCCCTTTTTCTGGTAACTGACGCAGAACGGAAGCCTTGGATTTACAAAACGTAAATCCAACAAGAAATATTGAAACTCAAGGAAAAACAATAGCCTCCAATATTATTTAATAATCCGAAATTTAGCAACATAAGAGACTTTAAATTGTCTCTGGAAACCCTAATTTAAGCAAAAAAAAGCAAAATAGACATTTATTAAAAAATCAAAAATAACGCTAAAACTTCGACAACCCGGTAACATGCCTTAAACTTCAAATTTGAAGCTGGAAACGATGTCAACTGAGGAACACCTGGTTGAGACGTTGTAGAGCGCTGCGAGACGTTTTCAAAAACATATTATAATAGAAATTCTGACATTGGTACAAAAAGATATGCCCGTTTCTTCGGAACAGCTCGTTTTGCCAATTTTCGGTCCAATTCTTCTTCAAACTCTAACGCCAATTGTCCTACATCAGTAACCGAGCAAACTATTTGTGTGATGTTGGAGTGGAGTTGCCCGACAAGTAGAATGTTAATAGAGTGGCTCCATAAGTGGAAAATACTGAGAAGGGAAGAAACTACTAAGAAATCCAGATTTACATCCTCTTTTTGTGTTTCTATGTTTGAGCAGATTGAGGACGAGAACATGTAACGATACTTATAAACAGGATATGTAAGTTAATATAATCATATTAAAAACTGAAACCAGTCTGCAACTTCATTCATCTAACAGGTGTTGCCAATAGAACTATGGATAATGTAACACCAAACAACTTTTCAAAAGAATATCCAAAATGCTAAGATATTATTGAATTTCTGTGTAAAAATTTCAGTTAACGGATGCTTTCACATCTCGATATCATTTGAAAAGGTAAAAAGAGTTGTTTACAAAAATTGTGTCCTATGAAGAATTTCTAGTTTTCGTCTCGTATTCAACTCAATCGAGATGTGAGATCAATGAACATATCCTCCCTGCATGGAATAGTCAGGCCACCCATTGGATGATTAAATCCGAATTCTTCTTCAGCTTGACTTAACAATTCCTGAAATGAAGACTCACTCAAGTATGATAAGGGAACAACAAAACGCTTCCTCTCCATTTCTCCAACATAAACAGCAAAATGCCCCTTTGGCACATCAGCTCCTGTTGAAGTTTCTCTGTTGAACGTGAATGAAGACCATCTAAGCAGTTGTTTAGATTTAATAATATGACTTATGAGAATAGCCATGGCGTAAGTAGAAAGTGTCTTGCTAAAATATAACACAAAATGGAAGTGGAAAGTTTCGTCAAAGAAAAAGATGCTAAACCACGTGAGATTGTAATAACTTGTGTAGAATGTGTGCCCGGAAATGCGTATATATAGATGACTAGTTAGAGAGGTGAAGAGTCAGCTACT